CCCCCCCCCCCCCTTGGGGAAGGCGCATTGAAGAGGGACAATTTTCCCAACCGACCTGCACCTTATTCTTGGGGTCGCTGCAAGCACAACAGATGGCGGCAAAGCTTTCGAAATTCTTCATGAAATTCAGGCACCCTTTAAGTAGCGCCGTTTCATTGTTCACTGTGATGGCATTGCTCAGGAGCAGCTGCTGATTTGCTCTGAGGTCAAAATTGTGGACAACCACTGACGTATAGAAGGGGGACTTCCTCACATGGTGAATGAGGAAGTGATTGTTCTTCCTTTGGGGGATGTTCCTTGGGGGAATGCCTTCTGCGAGGACACTTCTAAACAGGATATTTTTTGACGAACCGCTCCTTGACGGGCATTTCCTCACTGCATTCATTTTCGTAAAAGCATTTTTTTTGTCCCGGTGTGCATCTCACACATGTTCTCCTGTGTTTTCATTGCAAGTGGAGTTCCAGCGGGGGAAGAACGAACAGTCATACGCTCTACAGATGTTGTAGAATGTGTGACCGTTGGAAGGTTCGGCTGAGCTGTGATGGTCCTGCATGGTGGAGGGCACTTGGTTAAAAGATTTACCTCACTATTAAGGAAAAAATAAAATGCAAAAATGGGGGCTGCCACAAATGAGTTGTTTATTGTGGCGCTGCTTGGCCCATTTGGGAGTGTGTTCACTTGAGTTTTTTTTTTCTTCTTTTTTTTTTTTTTTTTTTTTTTTGATGTTAGCACAAAATGGCTAGTCGCCCTCAGAACATTCACATATCGCGTAGTTCTTGCTTCCTCCAGCGACGTGACTATCGCGCGTAGGGCAAAACGAGTGCACAGATAAAAATCACTCCGTTGGAGCCCACCTCTTGTGTATGCCTTCTGAACTTTACCAAGTGACAACTCTGGCGAAGAAGCAAACGTTGTGCAGAGGCTCTCCTTTTGAGGGAACACATTTCCCCTTTACAAAAACGGCATAACCGATGGAGACACATTCATCACAAATTTGAGCGCCCAAATGGGGCTGCGTGTAAATTATCGGCTAAGCTTGTCACATATTTGCTGTTTTTTTTTTAATTCCTTTTTTTTTTTTTTTTCGCGTAATAGTAATTTTTTTTTGTTGTTATTCTCTCCATTTGTTGTCCCCCTTTTTTATTACACCTGACTTGTTCAGGCGATTTTTCTCCATTTTGCGGGAATTACGCGGCTGAGTTGTGCAAGGGAGAAAAAGGGGCAACAGAGTAAACATGCAAGAGGAAGCAACTAACATATGGATGTGTACCTACGCATGAACTGCTTCCTTCTGCCAAAATGAACGTCGTGGAGCTTCTTGAGAAAAAACACTTTAAGGCCATAGAGAGGAGCGTCCAAAGGAAGAAGCTGAAAAAGTTCTTCTTCGCCTTTTTAAGGTTTAACAGTTTGTATAAGGGGAAGAACAAAGCTGTGGGCAAATTGTGGAAGGACATTGCAGCTGGGGGGGAGTACCTCGACACGATTAAAAATTTCTCCTTTGTGAATTTTAAATATGTATGCGAGTTTGTGAAGCGATTGGGTGAGGGGGCGAGTCCTCCCGAATGGGTGAATGGACAGGATGGGCTGGACTCATTGGAATGGCCATGCTTGCCTCCTACTACTGTGCCAGATGACATGGAGAGAGACCCTCAAAGCATTGCGGATCTTTTTCTCGTACAGTTATTCCGTGTGGTGAGGCTCCACGCGAGTGTGAAAAAGGGGTGGGCGCAGAAGAGTGGCAACACGAAATGTGAAGGTCCACTTGAAGGGGAAGGGGAAGAAGAAGGAGCATTCACAGATGAGGACAAACCAAGTATGGGTATACCCCAAATAAATGACATTATATTTATTAACGAAAAAAGAGAGTTTGAAATTTTGTTCAGTTTGATACACCCCCTTGTGCACAACATATACGCAACGAACCTTGTGGCAGACGTGATGATGAAGTCCCCAACCCTAGACATGGACAAGTGCTATATGCAGTTGCTCATTTCTGTGTTGCTTCATCTGTACAAAAAAAAAAAAGACGTCCTTTTTTTTTATTTTATAATATACAAAAAATGGAAGAAAGTGAAAAAAAACATTTCGAACAGCGTGGAAATTATTATGGAATGGGAAGCAATAAAACTTTTTGTCAGAAAAAATAAAAAAGACATTTATGATTTTAAATGTTTACGATACTTCCTCCTTAACCTGTGTGATCGTTCTGCTATTCATCGCATGTTAAAATACGTCTTCTCATTTTTACGTGATATTTTTTTATTCAATCATCCAAACAGTTGGGAGATGGATTTTTGGACATACAGAAAGGAAAGCAACTTTTACGAGTTTGCCTTTTTCCTTTACCTTTCCGTTGAAGATCTGTGTGATGAAGAGTTCGTATTTTTTGTCCCTCCTCTTGAAAAAATAAAAAAATTACTTCAATGTGAACAGCAATCTTGTGCAACGATGGATATTTATTTGGTACTCCACTTTATTGACAAATGTGATTGCGAGCTTTCCGTAAAGTTAAGACTCATTTTGGTGTCCCTTATTCGATGTGCCAATTCACCTGACTTGTTCAGGCAAAACGAGGAGAATTTTTTTCGTGCTTTGGTGGAGCCCGCAAGGGCGCAGCTACTGGGTGGGTCGCCACCCCATGGAAGTCCCCCCCCGGAGCACCGGCGCATCGCTCATTTCGTGTCCACCTACATGTCCGACAAGGACGAATTAATCATGCGCACCACGAGGAAGGAGTCCTTCTTTAACTCCTCGTGCATCATCAAGTACGTCCACATGAATTGCTACAACATCGTTAACAATAGGAAGGAGTACACAGTGAAGTATGAGCATCTTGAGAGTGACCTGGAAGCCCCCACGGCGCACCCGTATGAATATAACCTACACAGCGATGTGACCAGTTACAAGAATTATTTGTCGTCTAGCGTTAATGGAAACACATGCAGGAAGTATGCAACCCTTGTATCGGTCGTGCTCCACATGAACCTCCTTCGGTTGAGTGATGTCTGGAGTTTCACACTCACCAAGTTGGTGGAGAACAATTTAATCTTCCAGCTCATGAATCTGTTGAGGCTTCGGAGGAAGAGCTCCCTTTTGTGCCTCATCATTTCGAGCCTACTAAAGGTGCGTTACGAGATGGTGCAGGAATACGTGCGCGCGGAGAGCGGGGGCGCCACGAATGTTAGCGGTAGTGGTAACGTCCCTTTGGGTGGTGGCTTGGCGAGCGGTTTGGCGAGCGGCTTGCCTTACGACTTGGATGGAGACCCGCGCGTAGACCTGCGTGGACCCGAGCTCGCTAAGCGGCGCGCGCTTAGGAAAGACGTGATGGAGTACGCGACAAACGAAAACAAACTGATGGACATCCTGTGCTACCTCTCAATGGAAGTAAAAAAGGACCTTCTGAAGTTACCTCTAATTATAATAAAATTTCTTTTTAAAAATATTTTCAAGTACCTTTCCAAGCCCATACACGATGTGAAGAAAAGCATAAGGCACTACTTTGATCGGATGTCCTTGAGGATAAGTGTGTACCTCTTTGAGCTGATTCACAAAATGTCTGCTTGCATTTACTACCAAGGGGAAGTGCACTCCCTAGACCACTACAGAAAAAAATTCCTCCTCTTTCCAATTTACTTTATTGTGGTCGATGTGTATGTACAGTTCGCGGAGAAGTACAACGAGAAGAACAACGCTGTTTTGCCATCTCTCCTGAATTATAATTTTGTGCAGGGCTTTCTTTTCCTCTTTGATTACCCCAGGGGGACTTTAACAACCTTGGGGAGTGGTCTCTCGAGGAGGAACCGAGTTAAGGATGCTGTTAATCCATTCCTTGGCGAGGCGGATGAGAGTCGTACGCGGGGCGGGAAGAAGAGCCAACTGTTGAGGCGAGCGTGCACTGATTATTGCTTAACGTGGGGCGGTAGCCAAAGGGGAAAGACCCCTCCCCCACGTTGCAGCGTAACACAAATGGACGATGTGAACCTACTGAAGCACAGCCACTACAGCTACCTGGACGTGTCGCAAACGGAGAGTAGTACCTCAAGTGAAGACCATTCGCAAGACATCCTTTTCATTATGAAAAAATTTATTGAAGCGAATCCAAACCAAGTGTGCTGCTATTTGTACACTCTCCTGATGTATGCCATTGCTCGAGTTCACACTTCCGTCTGCTACAGATATATGGAGATAAATTACCTGATCATGTTGCACGTCCTTCCATGGAAGACTTGCTTGAACTTTTGCAGAAGGGATTCTCAACTGAGTTGCTTTTTTTTTCAAAAGTGGTATGAATGCGTTCATGCGTTACTACCCGAAATTATCCTCACGCAGTTTTCTTCAGGGGGGGTGAACAATGAGATGGATGAGGAAGAGAATGGCCACTGCTACCTCACCTGTGACGGTGTAGACACATGCATAGGTGACCCGTCGGGAAGTTACCCGCTTGTAGAATCTTCAAATGGATTATACGCCCACATTGTGAAAGCCAGGGATGCCATGAGGAGGCTTTTCCTTGGCGCTACGGAGAACAACTCTGTGGTGTGTGCCCCGGATGACGCTATCATCATGGGGTTGGAAAGCTCGCTGCTGAGGAACTGCCTGCTGGTGGTTACCTTCATCGAGGTGATCCTGTTGAATGGGGGGGGCGCCATGGAAAGTGGTCTCCATTTGGGGGGTTCCAGTGTTGGTGACCTTGACCCCCCTACCCCCATGCGAAACTTCACCCAACTGATGAAGCACCTACTAGACGAACAGCTCTGCGCCCACTACATCTCCATCTTCCAGAACCCATTAAATTTTTTCCTGCAAATTTCTCCCAAGTATGCCGAGCTGCTGGTAACACACAACTTCCTGGACAGCCTGGCATGTTTTATCTTTACGAGGCTGCAAAGCTACTTGTCGCTGATCCCGCCCCGTCTGTGTGCCGAGGACTTCCTACCGCTCAAGGTGGAGGACATCACGGCTTTGCAGGAGACCGCCGTGGCGCAGTGGGTGCTCAGTCTCAGAAGCGGGGAAGAGGCGGACACGAAGTGCCAAGCGGGGAAAGTGGAACACACGAAGCGCGACGCGGGACCAATCCTCGGCGACCTAAACTTCTTCCTAAAGAAAATGGATGCGTTGGTGAAGACACTGAGCGAGAGCAGCCTGCAGAGCCTATGCGAGTCGGGGTTCGACACTCAGAGCGCCTTCTACCTGTCCTTCTACGTCCGCCCCACCACATTCCACACGGTCTTCCATTACCTAGCAAGCAGCATGATGGCCATAACGAGTGATAGCTTTAACGTAGAAGAGAATATCAACTACTACAAGAACATTTATATAAAAGAAAAGGAAACCGTGTTGAAACCATATAATGTATTGGACAAGACCACCTTCTACACACAGTTGGTTGTATTTTACTTTATTGTACATGCAAAAAATAACAGAATCGAGGTGGAAGGTTATAAGAAGAACTTGTGCTGCTATTTTAAAGGTTGCCTCCAGAGATGCTTCAGACCTTACTTAGACCATTTTGTTTCTTCTATCCTACCTGTGATGTTACACTTTTATTACTTCTTCCCTTCCTTTATCCCTGAGCTGTTGAGCGCCCTAATGGAAATTGAGTTGAAGGAGGAGAACGAACAACTGTGCAGGGAGCTGTCTCAGTTTGAGAAGCGCGTTCGGCGGGTGCTCGAGGTGTCTTATGTGCACAGTGCAGACGGGGCTCAGCGAAGTGGTGGTGCCCACTCGGTTGGTGCTGCTCACTTGGGTGCAGCGTGACGGCGACCGCGTACATGCGTACATGCGTGCGTGCCGTCGGGCAAAGACAAAGGAACAATTGCATAAAGCGTCCCCCTCTGGGAAATTAAAAAAAAAAAAAAAAAAAAGGTTGAAATGGAAGTCGACTCAAAAATGGAGTGCTAAATGGGCTACTCAAAAAAAAAAGGGGCCGCAAGACGGTGTAACGCACAGCACAGAACGGGCCAACTCGAAAACAACGTAGCGAGTAGAAAACATAAACTCGGGGCCAAAGTCAAAAATGGGTTCGCGTAACACGCACGGGTGGAACACGGGGTGCATAAAACGAGTATGCAAACCACATGTGCGTGTATAATTCGGGAAAAAAAAAAAAAAACCTCGAAAGGGGCTCAAAAAAGGACCTGTCGCCGGATTGGGGGCAGACTCTAAAAAAAAAACTCGACGTCGCGCTGGAACGCAAACTGTCACTCGCTCGTTTTTAAAGGGAAAAAAAAGGCACGTAACGGGTGCACGTTGCATGTAGCGGTTGCAGGCCGCTCACACCGATTGGGTGTCCGTGTACCGCTTCCCCTCACTCGGTCTGTTGCTGAATGAGAGCGGCGAGCGCCGCCTGCGTCTTGATCTCTGAGTAGCTGCACTTGTAGGAGACCTCGCCATTGGCCACGACGTAAATGAAGTCGCAGCAAGACAGCGTGCTCACATCGTGAGCGATGATCAACACAGTGATGTGCGAGAAGTAGTTGCGTATTATATACTCAAAAGACTTAACGTCGCTGCAGAAAAAATTATTTGCATTGCTGTTGCTCAAATTAAAATTAATTACAGGGATCTCATCGATTAACACCAGCTTGTACGTGTATCGGTTGAGGAAGATCCTGACCAAAGCTAAGTAACGAATACAATCATCCGACAGAGCCAAAAAGTTTCCTTCCGTGAAAGACTTACTCTTGTTTCGCTTCTCCCTTCCATTAGACACTCTACCCCTATCCTCCTGAGATGCTTTTTTCTTCTGCTTATAAATGTATTTATACAAATCCTCCTCTCGCAAGTTGATACCAATTAATTCAAAGGCATTCATAATTTCTTCATCTGTGAAGTTGTTGTAGGGGTCTATATACGTACGTATGGTCCAGTGAAAGAATACAAAAGAGGATTGTGGGAGGAGACCAATAATTTTTTTTTTTTCTTCTAGAGTCATGGAGTTGATATCTCTTCCCTCGATGGATATAGTTCCCCTGGTGGTGGGGATGAGGCCCAGGACAGACAGAATGGTTGTGCTCTTCCCTGCGCCCGACCTACCCACTATGCCAATGTTCTGCCCCTTGAGCGCGTATATGTTCATATTTCTTAAGCAGGACTTGTCGTTCGCGTAGTAGTACAGGTTGCGCGATTTGTCTAGGAAGATTTTTTTTTTATAGCTCACGAACACGTTTTTGAAGTGCAGCCCATACGTCGCTGTGTCGTGCAACTCACACGTCGCTGTGTCGTGCAACCCATACGTCGCTGTGTCGTGCAACCCATACGTCGCTGTGTCGTGCAGCCCATACGTCGCTTTGTCGTGCAGCCCATACGTCGCTTTGTCGTGCAGCCCATACGTCGCTTTGTCGTGTAGCGGTGGGTTGTGTTTCGGTGGGTTGTGTTGCGGTGGGTCGCGTACCGATGGGCCGCTTATCGGGGCACCACACTGCACCTGCTCGTTGAACATGCGCGCGCACTCCTCCAGGCGCTGCGTGCTGCACATCTCCTTTTCCACATGCGTGTAATCATACAAAAGCGACTTAATGATAAAGCCCAGGCTACACGAAAAGGTAATACAATAGCCAATGGTACTTGCGTTCTTCTCCTCGTTCATAAAGTGAGGGTCCTGCTTATTTCCAATGTAGGGGTGCAATAGGTAAGGGTAAATGATATAAAAAGCGGTGAGGCCTAAAACGATCAGCTGCACATATAAAGAAGCCCATATCGTTAGGCACCATTTGAAAATCGTATAGTTTTTAAAATCAAGTACACGCTTAGAATATAAGTCCAGGAAGTATTTATTCTTCTTATACAAATTAATAATGTCTTTACCCATTATGGTATTGCTGTATATGGTGCACAGAGGGGCATGGCTACTTAGGTATCCTCGCTGAGCTTCTTTGCATCCCCTTGAGTATTTTTGAAACACGCAAAAGTAAATAAGAAAAATAACCAGAGGAAATACATACACAGTCTGGTAAACCATATAATTTAGAAGAAAAATGGTAAAAAGGAAGCGGAAAAAAGTATAAAATGTTTTATAAATTCTTTTAATAATTCCATTATCCATTATATTTATGTCTGTGATGAATCGATTAATTATAGTACCCAAGTTGTTGCTGTAGAAGGCATGGATGGGTGCATATAAAATGCTGATTAGAACTTGTGTGTGTATTTTTACCGCTGAAATGGCTATGGCGTGAGCAATAAGCATGAAGGCAGTTAACGTGGTGAAGAGAGATATACATGGGAGAAGGACAAAGTACTTCATGTACTCCATTTGCTTTTTTAAAATGTCTGCATCGTTCTGTCCTTTACTTTTCATTAGAGTGCTGGCCATAAAGAGCAAGATGTTTTTTATTTCGTCTGTACAAATGGAGATCACCATGAAAAGCAGAATTACCACTATGAGCGGGGTTCCTATCATGCGCAGGTACCAAACCAACGTCTCCCACTTGATGTTGCCCTTAAACCGGAGTTCTTCTTGCTCTCCCTCGTCTTCATTTTCGTGGTCTCCCATGTATTCGTACATGTAGCTCTGCTTCAGCTGGGCCTGCAGCACCTTGTTCACCTGTTCAAACTCGTGCAGCGTTATTCTGTCGTCGTGCTGGAAGGACAGATTGGCATGCTTCCTGCTGTGATTGTAACGGCCGCTACTGTTGCAGCCGGTACCGTTCATGCTGCTACCGTTCATGCTGCTACCGTTCATGCTGCTACCGTTCATGCCGCGCTTGTGGCCGCCCTGCTTCTCCCTAACCAGCACCTCCGCGTAGCTGCTGATCGTCGTCTTGCGCAGACTTCCCAAGCTACTAAAGCTAACGCTCGCAACAGGGTTCATCACGTGGTCGTCGCGCTTCTCCACATAGTTCTGCGTCACCGTGGTGTACTTCCTCCCGAACCCCTGCACACACGAAGAGTTCAGGGGCTCCAACCTACACGCATACGTATTCTTCAACTCCTTCAACGTTACAAATTTGTGATACTTCACGTCGCTCTTGAAGCTGTTCTTTTTCCCGCTCTGGTGGTCTGAAAAAAAATCCTTCATGTTGTTAGCGGCGTTGACCGTGTTAATCGCGTTGACCGTGTTAATCGCGTTGACCGCGCTAACCGTGTTAACCGTAGCAGGTGTACTGGGAGTTGTGCCACCTCCGCGCTGCGCAAGGGCCCCCTTCCTTACGTACGTGTGGATGTCCCCCTCATACACCAGCGTGCGGTCCTGCAGGCGATAAACCTCAACTGCATATTGAAGGTCCCTAACGATGCCTTCTTCCAAAAAGCTATTCCATATGTGTTGATTTGCGGTGAGGATAAAGCCACACCTGTCCTTAAACCCTTCCACGTTTTCCTTATTACAAAAGAGGTTATAAAAAATATGTTTGCATATGCATGGGTCCAATGCACAGAAGAGGTCATCCAGGAGGTACAAGTACGACATCTGCTCTTGCTCTAAGCATTCCTTTAGAACAGAATTCTTTTTAAACAAGTCACTACTCTCTGTATACATTTCTGCAGCTGGTCCAATTATAAAATCACAATTGCTTCCTCCATCATCGTACTTGTCCTGTTCCTCGTCTTCCTCTTCCCCTCCTGCATCCTTCATCGGACTACTCACATGTGAGTACGTGTTGATTATGTTAGCGATGTTGGAGGTACAGTTGGTTGAATTATTCTCGTCTTGTAGTTCGTACCTCTCCTCTTGTGAAGAAGAGGGTTCATAATCGGATCCTTTTTTTCTCACTTGATGTGCATGTCCTTTTCCCAACAGCCTTTTTCTTTTTTCTCCCTTGGGGTGGAGCCTGTCGCCATTACTGCGACGGTCACTCGTATCGCCACCCCTACCGCTACTGCGACCGCCACGTCGACCATCACTCCGCCCCCTAGAGAGGGCATTGTCCATTTCGTACAAATTCTCCGAGGTGGTTCTGTCGCGCCACTTTTTATTAAAGCGGACATCTCTCTCGTAGTCAACCACCAAATCACTCATGTGTATGTAATGATGATACAGCGCTCTGGCTAAACATATTCTAGCCTTCTGTCCTTTGCTCAGACTATGCTCGTCATTCACGTACCTCAAGTCCTTCTTCTTAAATGTATTCATGTCGTTTATAAGCTCGCTCTGAACAAGGACTCGGTAGTATATAACGGGATCAAACCTATTTCCAAAGAGGATCATGGACCGGATGGTGCCAATGGTTACCCAGTAGAACTGAGGCACATACATCATGGGTATGTCGTGGGAGAAGTTCTTCACGTAGTAGTTGCCCCGAGACAACCTTAGCTTCCCCAATAGGGCGTTAAAGAATAGCGTCTTCCCTGACCCCACATTTCCTAAGATCACCACCAGGGTGTTATTCTTCACCGTCAGGTTTATGTTCTTGAGGAGGGCGTCTCGACCTTTTCCCGTGGGTGCCTTGTCTTGGGAGAAGTAACACCCGTTCATGTTTAAAATGACGTCCCCGTCGGGCACTCTGCCGTGTGTTGCCGCCACTCCTACAGCCGCTTGTCCGACCACTGCAAGATCGCCCCCAGTGGGCCGGCCACTGTGCCTCTGCCCCTGGTCGCCGCTGTAGTAGTCGCCGCTGTAGTAGTCGCCGCTGTAGTAATCCCTCCTGTTATTCGTACTGCTATTAGCGGGGGCGACGGTGCTATAACCTTTTTTAAAAAAAAAACATTTGAAAAAGTGCCTCCACGTGGACTCCTCACAATATTGCTTGTCCCTGTTGCTTCTTCCATTGTGATGGCATGCAGTGGTGGAGGACGTGTGGATGCCAATCTGGTGGTCATTCACACAACAGTATTCAAAATTCTCGCTCCGATTACATTGAAACATGTGATGTTGAACGTACTTGTTGATTCTGCCTATGTTGATTGCGCCCTCGAGCATGGTATTAATAATGCTAGGTAAATTGGACATGCCAGATATGAGGGACTTGTATAAGAATAAAGGAGTGATGATGGAGCTGACGTTAATTGGTTTATGGCTGTTCAATTCTCCTTTAATAAATATAAAAAAAATAGCAACCTCAACAACGTTCATGGAAATAGCGTTCATATAATTACTCAAAGAACTTAAGTAAATTCTTCGTGTACACACTTTCATTTCCTTTTCCCTATGCCTATTCACATACTGAAATGCGATGGCTTCCCACTTAAACATTTTAATTAACTTGTACTCCTTCAACATGTGATGCATATTATTTATTCGCGCGTCTCTACACTTGAGGTGTTTTATCTTATATAAACTTGAAGCCAACTCGAAACCAAACATGAGGGCGTACAAAAGTACTATAAGAAGAATCCCATCAACTACTGCCTCCTTACCCATTTTAAAATAAAACATGTAAAAGGATATGGTGAATTTGATAAGGATATTGCAAAAGTCTATTATGGCAGTGATGAAGTAGATGAGGAAGGGCGTGTCCACAAACATGACGTTGTATATGTTGATGTCGCAGGAGTCGCTCTGCGTCGCGTCGTCGTCCGCTTCGTCGTCCGCTTCGTCGTCTTGGTGGGGCGGCTGGTCCGCAGCGTTGGTGTGTTCACGGTTGGGGGGCAGCGCTGTGGCCGCGTTCACCGCTTCACTCGCTTCGTTCGCTTCGTTCGCGTTCACCGCTTGGCTCACTTCAGTGCCTAACCGCCCCCTGCAATTCTCCAAATTAATCTTATACAAAAAATACAGCAGCGTCATCTCCATGTTCAACCTCAAGCGATAATCCACAAAGGTAAGAACTGCATCAAACAAGACGTCACACATGATGACCAGGATGAGGAATAAACCGAATGTGATTTCTTTATGTGATTGGAACAAGGGGATCCACATGCTCCCCTTTCCTTTAATCAGTAGTATATAATTTTCAATACACAGCGCGACAAAAATAAGATACAACGTATGAATGACGTAAAAAAAGGTAACACAACTGAGCTGAGTTCTAAACGTGTTGAGCAGAGCACATATTATGCCTCTCTTCTGCACCGAGTAATATTGAGGAGTCTCTTTCGTGGACGCGGCATTAAAATCTTCCTCACAACATTCCTCCTTCACGTTCACTGAACCACTCCCATCCTGTCTCTTCCTCTTTTTAAATCCTCTTAAATTATTCTCCAATTGACATGTGTAGTATTCAATTGCTGCATCCTCTTCTATCTTGGGCAGACTGAATTTGTCTTCTGCCTTTAGCTGATTCAATATAATGTTAATCCATTCGAAGGTTATAAAGCCGAACCATGACATGCTTGAAAGGAGGCTCCCTCGTTTTTTCGCGCCATCCTTTCCCTTGGCCTTCCTCCCACTCATGGTGGTCAACCGGTGCAGTTGATGGGCGGCAGTCTACTTCAAACAGGGGGCCCTGCCGATCCTTCGCTAGCCAGTTCAGTTAGACACTACGCTGAGCGAACAATCGGATGCGTGATCAAGGGGCAAGTTGTTTTTGTGTGTGAGCACATGCGTGTCAGCATTATTTTTTCTGCACGCGATGGTGGTGGTGTGCTGGTGGTGTGCTGGTGGTGTGATGATGGTGTGATGATGGTGTGATGATGGTGTGATGATGGCGGTAAACACACAACCTCTCCTCTGTCTAGCCTGGCTTTTATACAAGCGCGCCGCGTGAACCTTCATGCTTCGCACTGTGCGCACTTGTGTTCACACGACCACCCGTACGCCAAGTCACGGAGAAGTGGGATGGGACCATGCAAAGGCGACGACACATAACCACGAAAATACGTTGGAACATCTTGCATGAGCCTTAAAAGTAGAATGGCACGCCACTAAAGCAAGGTGTAGCTCATTGTTGTTGAAAATGTGTGCACCTCCATCCGAAGCGCCAGTAAGAAAAAAAAAAAAAAAAAAAAAAAATTCTCTACATTTGTTTGTACATGGTTTGATTTTCTTTCTTTTTTTTTTTTTTTATTACATCCCTATTAATGCTTTTCTCCTTTTCGTCCTTTTCCCCTTCTCCGCTTATCGCTACACTGTAGACGACTCACAGATGAGGGAGGGAGGGAAGGGGCTACGGCATGAACAAGGGTGATAATGTCATGAGGTTAGTGAATACGGGTGGGGGTGCAACGACACTGTGTGCCATTTTTTAAGTGGAGGTTCTACTGGAGGGTGTAGAGAAGGATACAAATTTTTTTTTTTTTTTTTCCTACTGGCCCTTCGGATGGTATATTAAAACCGATTTAGTGAGAACACTTCAGTCTCTACAGCGATGGAAGAGGCAGTCGTTTTCTGGTCCGTCCTCCTCAACCTCGTGTTGGTAGGAGCTACACGGAAAGTACCTCACTAGGGATAACTTGTTGAAGCGCAAAGTGAAGAAAGGTATAGTCGCCAAGGGCAAGTTACGCACATATGCGACGGGCACACAACGGTAAAACGATGGTGAAAGGCAAACGAACAGGTAAAACAAGAGGTAAACGAAGGGGTAAATGAAAAGGTAAACGAACACGTAAACGAAGGGGTAAATGAAAAGGTAAACGAACACGTAAACGAAAAGGTAAATGAAAAGGTAAACGAACACGTAAACGAAAAGGTAAATGAACAGGTAAATGAATATGTAAACACGGGTACGAGCAGAAATGTAAAGAGAGCCGCAAAGAGAGCCGCAAAGAGAGCCGCAAAGAGAGCTGCACACTGAACACTGAACACAAGTAGAAGTAGTATAAACTAATCACTCGCGTTGGATGCACGCTTTTTTTGAGCAACTGAAAACGGCGCGCCACTTGGCGCTTTCACATTTTTGTTC